GGTTAGGTAAAGTTAGGTTAGGTTAGTTTATGATAGTTAAAAGATATTTTTAACCATCATAAACTAACCTAACTTAACTTTACCTAACCGCCTCCAAGTCAGTTTCAGCAGAATCCCACAGAAAAGATAAACTGACTTTGGGGGGCAGTTAGGTAAAGTTAGGTTAGGTTGGTTTATGTTGGTTAAAATATCTTTTAACTATCATAAACTAACCTAACCTAACTTTACCTAACTGCCTCCAAAGTCAGTTCCCACAGAAAAGATAAACTGACTTTGGGGGCGGTTAGGTAAAGTGTGGTTATGTTAGTTTATGTTGGTTAAAAATATCTTTCAACTATCATAAACTAACCTAACCTAACTTTACCTAACCACCTCCAAAGTTGGTTTCTGCAGAATGCCAAGGAATGGATGAAAATTTGCTCATAATTTGTTGCGATTATGAACTTGCATCGTGATTATGAACGCGCGTGGTATACTGTATCTGGGAGTCTGGCCAGGGTTGCTGGAGAAGAGGATTTAAAGTATAGGGGATTCATTTTGCCGGTAGATGTCACGTTTGCATGACGCGTGTGGATTTTTTGGTGGGTCACCTCTCATGTACAAGCGCCAACCCTTGGGGATTGGTGCCAGAATTTATCCTCAAAATTGTGTGCCCTAAAGAGTAGTAAAAAGGGGGAACAAAAATTATGATAAGAGCCAAGCAGGGAAAACCCCTAAATGATTTTAGTATTACTGCAAAAAAAATTTCAAGAAGAGAAGAAAAAAAAAATTCTGCTGATGGGTGGGAATTTTTCTACATTCCTGCCATAACATTGGGGGATTATCAGGACAATGACTTTCATTATGCAGGATTTTTCCTGAATTTGGCTAAATAAAATAAAATCCTGGCACCACTGCACCATGCACAAGAATAACCTCCTGCCACCTGGGTTGATGAACTAATTGGTTCCAGATGAAAGTTATTTAACTAAAAAGTTTAGCTTATATAAATCATCCCAAAAACTTCAATTGGGGAAAATGAAATTCATTCTGTGAATCCTGAAGCCAATTGAACATGGGCTATAAAAAAATAGGTCATTGACTATAATTTGTTAGTGCATTTTATATACCCTTGCATACTCCCAGAATATTTTAACAGTCTTATATGGGTTTCCATATAGCTGATGAATATGAAGATTAAAAACCTTCACAGCCATCACCCAGCAAATAATGGGAGTGTTGAGATAGGAACCATTTTGAGAATGGCGTTGACAATGCTGTTGCAGCGCCATTTTCAGAATGGGGCTGATTGCCACCAATGCCCATTAGTTTATTGACGTTACCAGAACAGAATGACAAGTTGTTCACAACACCAATCTCCAAACTTCTCTCAACAGTGTAAAAAAAAGGGCATTCTTGAATTGGCATTGACTGCGCATTGTCAACGCACATACAAAACGTGATTTTTTAAATTTGGGCTGATTCCATTTTCAGTGGCTTTGCAGATTGCATAGCAGAGAATCACACACTACAAAGAATTCATATCAGGTGAAAACAAAATTTAATTTTTATTGCTGCTAGAATAAATGGATTTTTTTTACAATGCAACAACTAGAAAAAAAAATTTACATGAAAGAAAATAATTCTGCTACAGAAAAGCATATTCATGATTACATGAATGATGTAGATAAAACAAATTTTAAACCAAAAGGCTACACATATTCAAGAGCTAGGAAGAAAGAATTTTCCTGCAGTGTACAGGTGAATTATTCGCACTTACATTCCACCATACATTACCGCCTTGATTTTTAACCATCACATTAGGGATTTTTCCAACCAAAAATTCAAGTTTGTTAACTATAAATTTTGATTTGTTGACTGAGGGATTTTTCCTGGACACGCACCAAAAGGTTGTTGGAAACCAAGTCAGTTGTTACAACTGAAGGTTCTTTATGTTGAGATTTCACTATAAAACTGAAACACGGGTATCTGGGACTCTGCCAGGGAAGGTGAGGCAAAGGCTGCACAGCTGCCAATGGGCGACTCGCTGTCCTCCATGGCGTCCTGCTGCAATGGGCTGCCGTCAGACTCTGTCTTTGACGGCGCCACTTCGTCACACTTGGTGGAGGCGGCGCATGACGGCGCCCCACTGCCGTCAATTCAGTGACAAGCCAAAGAGAAGAAATGCTATTGATGTTTGTTTCCTCCAGTTTTCCCACGGTAGAAGATAGGGTTTAGCTCAAACTCATGCAATTTTCAACAAAAAGTTCAATAGATTCTCAAAAGTGTCCAAGTCAGTGTTCCTCAACCCATGGTCCATGGACCAGTTACCAGTCTATAGAAGTTATTTTTTCCCTGGCTGTGGGCAGTTTTCTTCAGCATAATAAAATTATTTAAGTAGCAATAAGCTACATAAACTTTATTTCAAATTTCAAAAAAGACAATGGCAGTTGAAATTATCTGATGGAAAATAAATGTTGACTTTTCCCTTGATGAAGCTTTAGATAGAGTTTCACATGCTGAAACAAAGATTAATTTGTCATTTTGAGAAACTTTTCTTGAAGCCGACCTTTCTAATGTTCTGAAGAAATTCCACTGCATGCAGTAGCTGCTCTATTGGTCTTTCACTTGATTTTGCAAAAGAACAGACCATTTCAAATACCTACCATTAAGTCATTTGGACAAAACTTTTTGAGTCTGCAAAAATAACATGAAACTTTTCTTCACCAGAAAATTCTTTCTTGAAAACTTAGTGGTCCACAAATATTTGTATGGAAATTTTCTGGTCCATCAGCCCAGAAAGGTTGGGGAAAACTGGTCTAAGTCATGTGATTTCTTATTTATAAATTTACAGTTGAACCTCACTAAGTCAAACCTCTAAGTCCAATGCCTCCCTATTTTGAATTTTTTTCAAGTCCACATCTGACTTCCCCAAGAAGCAATGCCTCAAAAACACACATAACTTGGTCTGTTTTCTCTAAAACCTCCATAAGTCAAATTTTTTAGGCCTTTAGGTTATTGTTTCATTGAAACAGGGAAGAAAAAATAAATAAAAAATGCTATTTGATGTGCTTTGAAAGGATGTGGAAGACTAAATGTGTCTCAAAGTTGATTTCCTAGTCAATCCATTTTAGAAGCAATTCAAGGTCCAGAATATCAATATGTACAATTTAGTGCAATTTTTCAATGTTTCCAACAATAAAAATGCTTGACTCTATAAGACAAACATCTATGCTTCTATATAACTCAAAAAATCCCCAAGTCAAATTTGTTTGCTGGTCCCTTGAAATTTGAATGATGATTGAATGAGCAGAACAATTCATTTGCCGCTTTTCAGCATTCACAAGGTTCAATCAATTTATTTATTTTTTCAGTTGGTCGCAATGGATCGGGAAAGAGCAATTTCTTCCAAGGTAATCGTCGATTTCTGGCCATGTATTGCAGTGTTTAACAATTTGTTTTTCTTGCAGCAATTCAATTTGTTTTGAGTGATGAATTTAGCCATCTCAGGCCGGAGCAGCGCCAAGCTCAAATCACTTCAGAGCAGGAAAGCACAAATTGATAACAAAAATTAAAGAGAATAGAATACAACATCAAATACAACTGGACATCTGACATGTATGCATACACCCATTCCATTCATTGAAATTTGATTCAGAGAGGTTCAACTGTAATTGGTAATGAATATCAACCAGACATATTTTCTTATGCCCAGCATTCCACAAAAGACCATTCGCTAACCATTTAGTTATGTCTGAAATCAACATTTACTCAAGTTCTTTGCTTGGCCATTTTTGGTAGTTCTACAGGGGCTCAGATCCATTACCCTTGACTATAAAACTATAAAATTCACGCACCATTTCGGTTTATTGAAAAAATATACAATTTTTATCTTATTCGATGCTTGTGTATGTATACATTTGAGCCTTTAAAAAAAAAGAAAGATCAGTGAACAATTAGCTCACGTCAGGCATCGACATATGTAACTCAAAGGCCTCATCCTGGTTGGCAAGTGAACAGACGACCAATTTCAACTTCCAAGAAGACGAAACCACGCTGTTCGTCAAGGTTGTCTCTCAGTTCCTGCCAAATGACGTCGAAGAAGAAGTTACATAGGTGTCGCTCCTCTGTCAATCATTTTAACCCGCTGTTGCCATTAAAATGCGACGCTTCCCGAATATCACTTCATTCGGACAGTGGAATACGAGACTAATGAAGGGGACTAAGAGCTATAATCAGAAAAGATGGAGTAAATTCAAGACATGGTAGGAAACTGTAGATCCTGCCGATCTTTTTTTTTTAAATATCGGATGTTATTTTGCAAGGTATTCAGCCTTTTACTTTGGGTATAATTTTCCTGGAAGTTGAAATGTGCCTGAGAAAGCTTTCATCTGTTATGGCTTTTTTTTTTTGGAGGATTTGCTCCTTGGTTGGAGAAAATTTAAATCTCCCGAGTCTTCCAGCGTGTTTCACTCAAAAATATATCCAAATCCTGCAATATGAATATATTGAATAAGTAGGTCAAGTATATTGAAAAACGAAAAATTTAAATTGCACAAAGTTGAAAGATACAGTGTCAAAATCCAGGCTTTGAAGATATGCTTGTGTAAGAAAGGTGGTGTCCTGCAATTCAACCCTAACCTGTTGCTGGCCTGGGAGCAAATCGTGAAGCGTTCAAATTGCGCAAGACAACATCAAATGGCAAAGTTTTCTACATGGCATTTGACATTTAGTGTCTCTCTGTTGATCAAATTTCAATACCAAGGTCAAATTGTCAGTCAATCTCCCAGCAAATTTGATCATTAGATTTTGGGATGGTCAAATGCAGGAGATCAAATTGCAAGGTACCACCTGAAGGTAGAACCTTCAATGTGATCTCCAAAGCTATAGCTTTGGAGATCACATTGAAGGACTATTTATTGGGCAATAATGAGCCTGCTGGTTGAAAACCATCTTTGTCAAACAGATTGAATTCATAGAGTGAGGTCCCACACTGAATTTACAATTAGAACTAGCAGTGTGCAGGTGAACTCTCTCTCTCTCTCTCTCTCTACCATGTAATTAAAAAGAACAAGAAAACATTATTTGTTGTAGATAGAATTTCATTGCAGAGAACTCCAATAGAAAGGTTCACCAAGACTTTTAGAGAGTGGCCGCATTGATCCTTGATTTTGCACTTCCATCCAATCATGGAGAAAATTTTTTTGTAGAATAGCTCAATTTTTACTATAGAGGTATCAAAATTTTTAAGTATATGTATTGGTGACCAGGTGTAAGAATATTAAAAAATTGCTGTACACATGTCGAGGCATATTCCTTTGTTACTTTTTGAGCATCTGTAAGTAAAATTCTGTGCATGTATTTTGTCCGCACTATACTGTAGATTCCAGCCTCAGTTTATGTCGTGGACATACCAACAAGAAAATAAAAACTGACTTTACATTGAAAGAAAACCACCAACTCTTCCTCAAAGCACATAAACTTGACTTCAAGAGTCAACTTGTCTACAAACTAGATCTTTTAGGACAAAACCAACTATAAACAATTTTTCCTGTACTGCATTCAAATAAATTTCAGAGCTGAATGATAGAAACCTGAAAAAAATACATGAAAAATAGAATCAACAAAGCATTTGCTCCACTCAAAATACATAGACTTGTTCGGGTTTGCTTAAAAATGCCATGCAAAAACCATCAAAGAGATTTTTCCATTCTGGACTTAGTGAAAGGATTTTTTTTTTTACTTTTTGGAACGAAATTTCAACCACTGCACTTCAATTAGGAGCTTTTGTAGGACGCTTTTCAGGGTAAAGTTTCATGGCTGATTCTTGCTTTAAATTATTTATAATTTTTCCAGATTCTTGGTTACTCTGTAGTCCAAAAGCCCCCCTACGTCAAAAGCCCCCCCCCCCCACTTTTTATGCAAGTTTCATATCAGTGTTTGGTGGCCCTGAGAAGGGCTGCTTGGTTTCATTAGTCCTCAAAAATGACTGTTAAATAATCATCTTCAAAATTGCCTTCTGCAGCCTCTTCCTCAGTGTCACTGATGCTCTCAATGTCATTTTCTTCTCAATGTGGCGCTCTTATCTCATCTCCTTCTTCATTAGCACATTTCTAGCACCAAGTACTGGCATTTGTGCTCTTAAACATGAATAAATAGCCATTGTAGTATGCCTTTTCACCGCTCTTTTGATTTTTGATGATCTGAAGTGCATCAGCCATTGGATCAACAAGGTGAAATGTAGATTTTGCAGAAGTCAGCAAGTGATGATGCTTTGACATTATATTCAAAGAATCACTGATGACCACTGCAGGTGAGGAATCCCTTTATATACTCAACTTACAAACATATTGGTACTTGGCCTTGTTCTGGGCCTGCTGGTGTGAGGGGCAGCTTACCCTCAAGAGTTACAAGAAGACCTGTTATCCCCAATTTTTGCCCAAAGGGGGGGGGGTGCTTTTGGCAGGGGGGCGGGCTTTTGGACTACACCCCACTTGCTGAAACCAGCACAATCAAAAGTTTACCTTCTCAATCCAATGGCTGGGGCACTTCAGATAATCAAAAATAAGGATGGGTGGAGCAGCAGTGACTGTGAGGAAGAGATAGCAGAAGGCAAATTTGAAGATGATTATTAAACAGTCCTTTTCAGGATCAATGCAACCAAACAGCCCTTCTTGTGGGCTCCACACACTGTTGTGAGGCTCTCATCCAAAAAAAAAAAAAAATTAGGGGTGGGGGCTTTTGATAGGGGGCTTTCGACCTAGAGGGGCTTTTGGTTGGGTACCCTCTTTGGAGCACAAACATTTTGTGCCATCCTCAATCCAAATTTCCCCTTGCAGGAACACCCCTTACAGCAAACTGCACATGATACCATGTAAGGTTTGTATCAAGTATAACAGAAAGCAGGAAAGAGGCCAAAATACATTGGTAATCTTCTTCTGGTCAAATTTCGATCACGGTAACACTTTCAAATAGACAGCCCTGTTTACAAAACACAGACGAGGAAATCCTTTTCCGATCAGTGGGGTTTCCCGAGATTGCCCTTCCCAGCAAGCACCCACTCCTCTTCAATCACTAGCTGAAAACCCCCTTCTTTGATGTCGATAAGGGCAATAAAAAATAAATCAAAGAAGACAGAGAGGGGGGAGAAAGGTGAGCACGAGCTAGGAACAAACAGTCCAAAAGTGCGTGCAAAAAAATAAATTGCCCCAGACAAACGAGCAACGTTGCCCTGCTGATACGCTAACCGGGCGAAAATTGAGACAAAGCGTTTGTTGAGGTATAGCAAAATAAAAGAAAAAAAATATATCAAAGGGGGTTTTTTTCTGCGTGTTAATTTTTCGTTTCTTTTCTGTCCCTCTCTCTCTCTCTTTGCATTAACAGAGACCATATATATTGGCACCAACAGTCGAAAAAAAAAATCCCGGCATCAGCGAAGACTAGACACTAAATAGCGAAGCTTTAACGGGGCAGATCCGGGTGATTTCGCTTCTCGAAAGCTTTTATTGTTCTGGCATCAGATGATCCTTGATGCCGATTGTGTGGGATTATATACCAGCAGATGCATCACTTTCAAGTCTAAGATCCAAGTCTGACACAGGACAAAAGAAAAAGGAAATCTCTGTGTTATTGTGAAGCACAGCATCAGCAGCCGGAAAAACCGCGGATTTCCTCTATGCGTATTTCTGAAGTTTTCTCTATAGTATACTACTCACAATAGAAGTTGGAAAATAAATACGAAAATTACATATACATATATATATTTATTTAATTTCGATAACTTGTTCATATAGAGACAAGATTGAATATTTATTTGACGCGTAAAAGAAACAGGGCCATATTCCGCAATTTTTTATTTTTACTTTTTTTGTCAAAAAAAAAAAGAGCGTAACGGAAATTCGCCGAACGTTTTCATCAGATTTTCTTTATACAGTATCACGGAAAAGCCAACCACTTGGCATCACAAAAACCACAGCAATTAAAGAACAGACAAATATAGATTACGTAGAAATTTGATGTGTATATAATCAGGTACAATATTTGAGTCCTAGCCTTGAATCATTTCCAAGAACAGAGCCAATTATTTTCCAATTTTAAATTATAGCATGTCCTTGTGAGACGTGTCAGAATCGCATCAAGAAGTTACCTTATTATATTCGAAATTCATAAAGCGAGTCCGAAAATTTTTTTAAATTGTCGGGTTTTATTCACTGGAAAGTTTCCTACATATTTCTGGTTGAAAATCTGAAATCAACGTAGGTCTGAATAAAATTTCAGCGCGTGCAAAAAAACAGCATTTTTCAGCAATTACGAGCATAACGCATTCTTTCATGCTAAAAAAATTTCAATTCACAATAAACGCATGCTGAGTATTATTATGACTAGAATAACCTGCATGATAATAAAAACTGCATGATGAATAACGAATTTCTGTCATTTTTTTGGATGACAAACATCAATCTGCGCTTTCAAAAAATTTTAATTTGGTTGAACAATTTAGAAATAATCTTTGTTACTACAGTAATATCCTTTTATAAATTCACTTTCTTTTAATTTTCTTACTCCCACCTGAATTTCCGAAATGGCTCTTTTATTCCTGGTACCCAAAGGTCTTGATTATTTTCCATCTTCTTTTTCATGTATTTTCCCCCCTCTGTTTCCGCGGATTACGGTTCCAAAACAAAATAAAATAAAATAAAAGACGACGACGGTCGGGGGAGGGGAAATACACATCACACACTTATTGATATTGGCGACGGGGATAATCCGCAGTGGTGAAATTTTCGGCGGCCCTTCTCTCGCGGGACGACGCCTCATCGCCGTCGTTTGCCGTTTTTCGGCGGAATTGGCGTCGGTCGGGTGTGAGGGGGGTTTTATTGCGAATCCGTGTCGAGTGCTGATTGATGGCCGGCGCGTGTCTCGGCGACGATGGCGCGATCGATATTCCGCGGGCAATTTGTCGCCTGTTTCTTCAGCGTCTGCGCAGAAGAAGAAGAAGAAGAAGGAAGAAGAAGATGGAGACAAGAGGAATTAAAAAGGAAGGACAACGAAAGAGAAAAAAAAAGGGAGAGACTGGCACCAATTTAATGCCCCGATCTGGAGACAATCGAGAGTGCTTACTTACTTACTTGCTCACTTACTGATATCCACTTGTTTTTTTTTTTGGAATTGTGTTTTTTTGTATTTTTATTCTTCAGCCTTCATCACGCGGCGACATCTGCCGCCCTCCGATATGCCCGTGTCTCTCACCTGATCAATCAACTCGCGTTTATTTGTTTCTTTTTTTTATTTTTGGTCTGTCCCCCCAGACTGTTGATTAGACTGGCTAAATTTCGACTTTCGATTCCGAAAACGGTTTTAATCAACCTTCGAACCAGCAGAAGCGGGGGTTTTTTTTATAGGCGGTGCGAAAGAGGCACGAATCATACTTTACATCATTTCTGTCGTTGTAAAATGTTTGAAGAAGCCGCATAGTTTTGATGGAACACAGCCAGCGTGATGTGAAAGTTGTGTGAAGACGTCAAAGAAACAAAAACAGAAAGCTTTTCAATATTTTATGGTAGATAGAAGCTCATCAGAATAACGAATCTCGTCACATTTAATTGCTGTATTTCTTGGAAAAGATTCGTTTATCAGGTCCTTTCCCAAAAATATAGCTGGCAACAAAATTTTTCGAGTCGCTGTATAACGAAATTTTTGATTTCAGCGAAGCTTTTTCCAGAGCCAAAAGCGTCATTATAACAGAATTTTACTGTAAATAATGCAATGGAATCTTGTAAAAACAAAGCATTTGAGACTAGATAAAAAACCTTTTTGGGAAACATTTATTATATGTGAATTGAATTACATTGTGGTCATTGGGCAGGACCCAAAAAAAAATCATGGTGAGCATTCATTTGATATAACAAGATTTGTTTTGATGCGATTATACTGTATATACTGTATATTTAACATGAATAAAGGACTTCATTATCCAAGAATAATAACCTTTATCTTGTGGCAATAATGAGTACCGTATTCACTCACATAATATGTGCACTGAGGTAAGATATGGAACAGGGGTTTTCATCAGTCAAAAGTTTTGATGTATTTTAACCCCAAGTAAAACGCAAGCACCCCATATTTAGAGACTCTGAAATTCTGAAGCAAAAATATTTCAAAGACAAGAATGCTCAAATTTAAATCTTGGCATGAACTGTACCTTTATTCAATTATTTGCAATTGTTTGCATTACAATAAGGTTTTCTGTAAAAATTGGTCCAAAATTTATCATCAGCAGCAAATATAATGAAGAACTAAACTTCTAAAACTTTTTGAAAAATCTCTAACAATCCATGATGTGCATCCCCTTTTTTGCATCAATTCTGAGAAAAAATGTGCATTTGGTACTTTTGAGTAAATATTGTATATGGGTAAATTTTTAAGCAATGAACTGCAAATTTTTAGGAAATAATGACCATTTTCCTTGGAATTCTTGGTATGAGGTGAGGAGTAGGACTCACACAGTAAGTTTTAGATCAGTCTTCAGACTCTTTACCCAATCTGTGGCCCTTGGACCAGTCCCAGTCCACAGAAGTTGTTTGCCAGTGCTAAAATTTCCAGCACCATACATATTGATCAGAAGTATAGGAGAGAAGTCTGTTATTTTCGCCTAAAAGTTTGGAAAGGATAATGGCAGTTTAAATCATCTGATGAATAATGAAAGCTGGCTTTTCTCCTAATAACACTCCAAAAAAATTTTCACCTGCTGAAATAATGTTTTACATTTTTTTAGCATGAGAAAAATTTCTACAAGCGCAACTTTCTAATTTTTTGATGACATTCTGCTACACAGCTGCTTCATTGGTGCTTGACTCAATTTTTGCAAAGAAGAAATACATTTTGAAATACCTGCACTAAGACCTTGAAAGGATATCTTCTGTGAGTCTGCAAAATTTTGTGAAACTTTTCCAGTCTGCTACAAATACTTTGGGAATTTACTGTTCCACAAAACATGTCATGGATATTTTGCCAGTCCGAGTGTCCAAAAAGTTTGGGAAACACTCTTTTAGATTATATATTCTTATTGGGAAAGCTTAAATATACAGGGTGACCCAAACTATTGTCTGCCATTTCTCAAAAACAAGTGTTTTTATACCATTATTCTCATGGTGATGGCTTCCTTCTCTTGAATGTATTGTGTCAATTATCAAAAATATGCTACAGTATTATGATACAGATATCATACTCATACATTATACAAATTATAATCATGCATCAAAATTGAAAATGTTACTTCTTCAATGCTTTATGACTTTTGGGAAGAGTTGTCCTAGTCGCACGTGTCTTTAGATTATGAACATAAAATGACTGGAGATGAAATGTTGTCACACTGTAGCCCACTACAAAGGTTGGGAAAAAATATATTTGAGGATGCTTCGACCATTTTGAAAACTGTTCCTAAAATTTTGGTCTACAGTGTGCAAAGGTTAATTGGTAATTACGAACATCCGGTCTGTATGACTTCAAATTTGGGGGATTTTACAAAAGAAATATATATTTTGATGAAGACATGATAAGCAGGCCAAATTTATCGAAGCACAGAAAAAGATGATAAAGTGTGCTGAAGTTTGAATTGTTGAGCGTAGAAGAATTGTCATACAAAGCTGAAAAACACAATTTAATTCGCAACCTATATGAGCTTTCTCAAATTTCAAATGCTTCGTTTGTTTAATTTTTTTTAGGATTTATGCATACAGCATTACTGACACTTGTAGTTAATCGCCATTTTTTTATTGCCTCATAAAACCAGGCGCCAGAAGAATGAAGCTTCGATTTTCTGTTGATGTAGTTTTCGTGTTTTCATGAACCCCCACTTTTCAGTTAGTATATAGAGATGAAAGGTTTTTGTTTGTATACCTCTGGCTGTAATCACTGGCGTGAATCTGATTGCAGATCTCTGACAAATGTTGTTAATGCAATCATGAAGATAATGTGAAAGCCCTGAGAAGGTGAATCTGTTCATTTCTGAATATTATACAGTATACAGTCAATTCTAGATTTACTGCTACGCGCTTGGTGCCGAAAATTCCCCTGGAATAAACTTTCCTTCATAGGAGTCATAATGGAAACCCAGATGGATTGTAAACTAACTTCATGCCACAAAAAATGTTCTGCCCTGAAATCAAAAATAGGGAAATTCAGATAAATTCAGTCATATTTCTGAAGATATCATGGAGTTATTATACTGAGAATCACATGCCCATGCTGATGATAATTGTGAAAATTTGGTTTCTGCATTCACATGTAATTGGGTTCTTTTACTTGAATGTCCTCCATAGCAAGGAACACCTCAGTAACTGGGATAGTCTCTTCCAAGAGAAATTTAAAATCACTCCACCTGACCTTGGGCTGTGATGCTTTTGCTCAAAGGTTAATACAGAACTGCAAAAATAGTTCTGCTCTGTTTCATGAGACTCATGACCATTATATTCAGATGTTTAATCCATTGTGTATGCTATTGAGTACATTTAAATGCAGTAAAAATAGTTCATCTGAGCTCCAAATTATTTTCTGTGGCTTCTTATATAACAGACTCAATGGCCAAAGAATTTTAAAACAAACATATTTCACCTGTAGAAGGATTCTTCGAAGTATTTTATTGTACTGTACACTATCCCTGAATTAGTGTTACCCTTTCTGGGTGCTAGAACACATGATTTCACTAAAAGAGGGTTAGACTCTTTGAGTATCTTTTCATTTTAGGTATGAAATGACAAGTATAAATTTTCATGATCGCATCAATTTTTGGAAACCAAAGTGCAGGAAATCTAGTTCAGTTACGCAGCAAGCTGATGACTTGGAAAAATCATCAGTTAGCACTGTAAATCATGAAACTCTCGTCACTGGTGAAGTCATGAGACTCATGACCCCAAATTAAAATTGCTGAGGAATAATAATAAAGTACAAAGTAAAGCCATTTTCTGCAGAAGCATTGGTCTTGAACTCTAGATCTGTGTTTTCTTTGGTTTCGTAGGACAGACATTTTTTTGGAAAGGGATGAAAAAGCTTGACAGTATTCTTGGAGTACAAGAGATATATACAAACTTACATTGACTCACCATCATTTTCAACATTTTTCAATAACATATTAATGAAAACTCAAATTGAAAATGCAATTGGAATATTTCATACCTCTGCTCCTTTCTCAAATTTCCAACAAACACCAGGCACAGTAGAGCTTCATACTTCCTGCAAAGCTAAATTTTCTGCACGAAAAGGCTAGAAGTTATGTTTTTTTTTTCAATATGATAACATTGGTAAAGATTTTTCTATGACCCCTGCACACATAATATATGGCAAAAATTTGTTAGATTGACATTATAGAGGAAAATCATTTGGTTATAGCAATTCTCCTACACATTACATTATTTTATACTGATAGTTATATGCATAGCATTGTCTTGTGGAGAAAGGGCTAGGATGAAAGAGAAGCATTTTTTAAGAAAAAAGATTATTTCTTGTAACAGATTTTCACTGTTGAGCGATTTTAAACTCAGGGAGACTCAAGTTATTCACTGTATTTCAAATTTTGCCCCATTCTTACCTTCACTACATATGCTTACATTTCGCCGTATTTTCAATGCACTCCCGGATATCCTCAATTGTTTATATTCATCTGTTGCAAAGAGGAAATTTTGTCATTGGAGGGGGGTTATGGGGATAAAGTTAAACATCTTCATGGCGACCCTGCAGTTTCCAATGAGGGGTGGCGTCACGTCTCGCGGAACGGACTGTTTGCTTCCGATCTCGTTTCTGCCAAAATCCCGCCAATATTTCCTCCC